TATCCAAACCTGACTTCAAGAAGACTTAAAAGCATTTAATACAGCAATGTGTAATGAAGGAATGCAAACCTCAGCTTTCTGGTTTCTGACAACTTGACCGTTAGTTTGTGTCACACCTGAGGACAGTGCACTAGTGTCCATGCTTCAAAGGGAACTGAGGGAGAAAAAGACTTACTCCAGTTTGCATGGGTGAAGGATACATTCAAGCTCTGCCCTTCTGTAACATCATAACCACATCAAACCACTTCAAATCTACATCAAACTGCATCATAGCATTGGTCCATTTAACTGAGTACAATTGACTGGCAATAGCTAATTCTCAGCCTTGCATTGAACTTGAGATTTTTAAAAATATAAATCTCCTGTCAGATTTAGGCAATTTTCCTAAATCTTAAAGGAAATATTTGAATAAATTTCTATTTGGCTATTTGGAGAGAAGTCCTGCTTGAACTTGATTTCAGATTAGAGCATCTTTATTGTCTATCACACAGTTCATAAGCTATGTTTGAAATAATATTAAGTAATCAGGTAGTTTCTATTTCTCCTGGAAAATTAAACAAAGAAGGAAAGAAAAACATTTTGACCTTAAATTCATTTACTTGGAAGTAAACTCACTGATTTCAGTAATGTTTATTTCCAACAAACTGTATTTAGGACCACTAGCTTAGTAGATCAGTTTCCTATGTTATTTATATAGACACAATCTTCTTCTTACTATCTTCTCCCACATGAATACCACCCATAAATACTGACATATTTCAAAGACATATAGACAGTACTCTGGTTTTTTCCCTCTCCCCTACAGCCACAATGAGCAGATTTAATTATTCATCTTTTATTGTCTTTTACTTTTAAATATGAAGCCCTGAGGTATTTTGTGATTTCCCCAAGGTCATTATAGAAGTACCTAGCAAAGCTGTTTCTAAGGACTACACACCCAGGAGCCTTGATATATCATATCTTTCCCAACTCAAACTCTAGAGAGAAATTTCAGAAAAGAGCATATTTCCTATAGCAAAATATCTGGAAACAATTTCATCAAGCACTTTCTCCTTTGAGATTTTAATAGCTGGACACAGACAATAATGTAGTGCAAAAATAAGCTATGAAGAAGCTGTGGGAAAAGGAATTTAAAACTGATTGACTGGGCATCTAGATTTAGTGATCTAGCATTCATCAGCCCATGTTGTTGGAAAACAAAACAAAACAAAATATGTGCAAATAGAAATTGTAAATAAACTATAAAAATACTCTATCCACTTTACAAAATTTCCACCAGCATGGTTGTTGTTGAACATTCTGAAAGTTGACATTTCAGAATGTCAGAAGACTGGACTAGGGTGCTTGTTTTTAATAATGTTCTGAAGTCCTAAATTGATAAAAGGTATTTGCATTTCCAGCACTAATTTAATGTTATTTATTTTTTAAAAATTAATTTTATACAGTATTGCTTGCAAAGCTATTTTATTTTTGTTTCTTTTATTTTTCTGATTTTCCTCTTAATTGATAAAAAAATCTATTAAAATAAAAACAAAGACAAAAAGAAAAAGAAAAAAGAAAAAAAGAAAAATCTGGGCATTATTTATAGATTCTTGAGTGGAAAAGGCCATAGTGAGGGAATTATGTTACAAAATTGACTGAAATTCTTTTTTCTTACAAATAGAAAGGGAAAAAGAATCTGTTATAGCCACACTTAGTCTAGTGTCAGTGATTCCAAGTCATGATCCATGGCCCAGCCTTATGGATATATCAACAAAGGGTAAAGAAACGTTGGCCAGTGCCATGGCTAGAGGAATAAAGACTAACGTCAGCTTATTTCCTTCTTCTCCAAGAGGAAGACGAGCCTGGTTTTATCCAGTGACCAGAGAATGCATAGATGCAGAGAACTCTTCATACATACATCTGAGAAATAGGTCTGATCCAGCTCCAATTGTCTTGGAAAGGAAAACTGAGTTGAATGACATTTTGACTCATTTAGTTACTTAATACTTTTATATCCTATTGCTCTTACATGATGCAACAGTCTATCAAGAGTTGGCTGAGTCAAACAACTGCCAAGAATATGATCATGCCAACTATCGAAACAACAATCTTTTCAAACAGGAGCTTAGTCAGTCCCCAGGTCCATTCCTCTGCTGCCTACCATATTATATTGTTCCATATGCGGTGTCTAATATTGATGTTGGGCTTTTGGAGCAATCTAAGATGGCAGGGAGCAGATACTGGGTACAGCTGAAAACTGAACTGGCTTCCATTCAAAAGTGCCACCAACTACCTGATAACTCTGAAAAGTTTCCTTTGTGGGTGTGGATGCTTTTGATTCAGAGTCAGTCATTCAGAAGAGTGGATGTGGCATTGTGGGTTAAATACAACAACCAGCAAGTGCAGATACAGTCAAACTTGCTTTCAGAAGCAGCACTACCTCTTAGAGAAGCTTGTTTGATAAGAATGTAGTAGGCTACTGGCAACCCCATACCTGAAGTCTTCCTAAAATCACCACCAACCCTGCCCTAGGGTCATATTTCTGCCACCAGTTACAGGAACAAGTACAGTAAGCACCTTCTTTTATTATTTGAATATGCTAGCAGCCACCCTGGAGATCAAACAGTGAAATCTTTGAAATGAATAAACAAACAAGAGTCTTGTGAGTTCCATTTCTAAGGAAGCTGTACCAGGTAAAACTAAATACAAATTTATGCCATGGAATTAGCTGAATTAATTAACCTATTCACTGAAATGTTACTAAAATATCTTACTCAAGACAAACTTCAACAACTTCTGTTCTATAGTCCCAAGCAGCAGATTTCTCAGCAGGAAGAGTCCCACTAACAAGGTCCTGCGAGTTGTGTTCAACAATGGTTCAGGACCAGGAACAGCAGCCATAGCAGAGGACAGAGAAAAACTGTAAATTACAGTACACATTTGTGTTTTATCACAACTCCATTCAAAGCATTCATCCCTGCATTCTGCTAAAGAAGTCCTTATGAGATATACCTGTCATTTTAGAATTTTACCCTGATGAAAGCTGATGAAGATCTGTTAGCATCAAGAGAAAAGTAAAAGAATTTCTGAATCTTAAGGAATGACCAGGAGTTGCCCAGGCAGTACTTAGTCTAATCAGTAATTCTAATAATGCATACAGAAAGATGGCATTAAACACAAAATAATCATCTAACCCTATAATTTAGCAAAGTGACTGAACATACAGTAACTCAGGCTTCCCCAACCTTCTGCCCTCCAGATGCGCTGGGACTATAATTCCCAGAATTCCCAGTCAGAGGAAGCCCAAGAGGCAGCTATAGTCCCAACACATCTGTTCTAACACCTTGTCATGAGTGTCATGAGTGACAGTTCCTTATGGGTAATAATGCAGCAAATTACAGCTATACACTAGGTGTAGGGAATCTGTGGCCTTCCAGATGCTGAGGAACTACAATTCCCAGGACAATCAGCCAGCATGGTCAATGGTGACTTTGGCCTTGTTTTAAATATATTTTTTGTGATCTGCAAGCCAGCTCTTCATCCAAATGCTAATAACAATTCTCAGGCCAAATGCCTGGAAAAAAAAAAGAATTCAAAAGATCCCTCTCTGAATATTCTTTCAGGGGAGAGGGTACACAGAAGGAGAGAATCTATGTGGTGCCAGCAGATGTGTAATCTTGGTTACATAGGACCCTCATCTATCCTGCTTTAATCCCCTCCCTCAAAACAAATTAGATTCTTTGTTGTTTGAAGCTTCAAAGACTCATCCCTGCTGGGAGAAAAGGACTTTTATTGGTTATCTAATAACTGTCACAGATATTTACCTCCAAACAGCTAATATGCTGATTTAACTCTTTTTCAGGCTTGATGTTTGAAGAGATGAGTTATCACAAGCCAGCAATGAGCATAAATAGAAAACACTGAGATAAGAACTTTTCCTCATGCTGCTCTTTCCTTTTCTACACTCTTGAGTCTCAAGACAAGTCTGAAGATTCCTGATTTGTAACTGAAGCCTTTCCAGAAACTGTGGGTCTAAATCTGCCAGAGCAGTACTAAAATATTATAGTATGGGACACAGTACACACACACTAGAAGCTTATGATAGAAGGTGACACAACAATTCACAATGTCACGAAGCACACTTTTTACAAGGAAATATGGCCAGCCTCCTAACTCTGTAGCCCTGTAGTTTAACCCTGCACTAACGGTAACACTATCCCTATGATCCAACATATGAAGAGGTGGGAACAGAACAGGCAAGGATGCTGGTATGCTTGGATTTCAGAGCATCCAAAATGAAGGCACAGGGTTTAGAGGCCAATACCAATCACATCCAGAACTATTTTAGAATAGTTGTTCTGCCAATTTTCTGAATACCTTCATTATGCACCAAGATACTACTCTGAGGGATCTGTATGCATAAATACAGTAATGGCTTTAACAAGTATCCTCTGCCCAACAGTTGTTATAGAGTTAGGCAGAGGAAGGAAGGAAGGAAGGAAGGAAGGAAGGAAGGAAGGAAGGAAGGAAGGA